ACCACTCTAAACTCAGTGAATAATCACCAGACAGTCCAAAGGACAGCTGGACTCTTCATAAGCCTTTGGTTGTAAAGAATCCTCTAGTTTGAGATATATATGTTGGGAAATTGCTGATGGACTTGATATTTAAATGGACCTTTCTTGCCCTGCAAGAAAGCCAGAAATCAGAAAGCATAGAGAGAATGCACCAAGATTAGGAGAGAAAAAAGCAGCATGGAAATTGTCATAAAGTAGAGAAAAAACTGTTTTGTGTGAACAGTTACACAGATTAAATAAGCAAGGACTTGACTGCTTCACTGCATCTTTTTTAATCTCTTCTTCATTAACCCAATAGTAACTCATATTCGTAAAAGTGTTATTATGAAGCAAGAAAAAAATTTTTTTTTGTTATTATTGTATACTTCTTGATGTTTTTCTTCCAGGGGCCATTTCTTTTTCTTTCTCTATGTTCTTTCACTTTAAAATGTATTTATCTCAGTCTTCAGCTACAGAATTATATGTTCTGTACCTATTTCTCTTGACCACTTCTCCTGCCTCCATGAGAGTAGGAGACACCTGCTGTACTTGATGAAATGGGTGTTGTCACTACAGAGACAAAAATAACCAAAAGGTTGACAAATGCCTCATGGAAGAGATTTTACCCTCAAAATAACTCCCTGGGACAGAGAAATAATCTTGCAGACTAGGAAATGATGCTTGGGTTAGACTACCTTGATTTGTAACTCCCTGAACAAGCAACAGAGTAACCTAACCTGAGTTTTCTCTGCTTCTTGTAGACAGTTAGACATGATGACTTAAAGAAGTCTCATTGAACCTAAATTATTCTATGATATTATGACTCTATGAATTAGAAATTTAATTTAGAACTTCCTTAAAAAGAAAAATACACTTTCTTCCTCTCTGACTTCACTGGCTCTTCATCAAAAATGGCAGCCAAACGTGAACCAAAATATTCTGAAATATTACTGATTTTTATGACTCTAGCATTTTCCTTGTGATCCTTCAACCACTATGTGTGAGGTTGTACACTGTCATTTCTCGTTATCTTTACTTACGTTCTTCATAAAGCCATTGTTGCAGCTGTAAGACAACACAGTAAAGTGCACTGACAGTATAAGTCAGTTCTGTTTCCCCACAGGATAACCTTATACCTACAGTGAACCTGGGGTAAATAGATACCTGAACACAGGCAATAATGAGTGTGATCCTAACAGGAGTACATATTCAATGTAATAATCCCTCCTGCACTGTTAAACTTGGTCTTTGCCTTCTATCCTATAGGACCTTTCAAACAGCCAAAAAGAATTCATATGGACACATCTATGAAAGTCTCATTCCATGAGTAAAAGGCAAGGTGTTTTCAACCCAAAACTGAATATAATGGAGATATTTGATATCTACCTTCAATCTCTGCAGTTTTTTATATCCTGTAATGAAGCTTTCTTCTTCAAAAATTCTAGCTGATACTATCAGCAGATAAGCAACACAAAATGCAGAAAGGAAAACATGTAATATTTTGATTTTTTTAATCACATGAATTTTAATTAATAATTGATATAGAAAACAGTAGAAGATGTTTGCCCCATGTTCAAAGCTGGGAATGTATCATGTTTATGTCTGATTCTGGTATTCATCTGTTGCAAACCTGTGACTATAGTCATACATAAAAGATATATTCTAGAGTCTAAGAAACTCAGATGGTAAACATGCTGCTTGGGAGTACAGGAGAAAGATCTCTTCATGCCTTTTTAAAAGGCTAGAAGTTTTACAACCGAGACTTTCAATTTCAGTTTTTCAGTGTTTCTTCCCTACAAACCTGCTCACTGCTTGTTAAATACTGCTGGTAACTGCCATAGGCAAGAATATAAAAATCATATTGGTATTTGATAAAGATAAAAATCTACAAAAGTCTTATAAAGTATATGACTTGAATCATTTAAGTACTTCAACAAACAGTTCCAATTTCTTTCCAATTTAATTTCTCTGCTTCCTTCCTTCTTTACTTCATCTTTGCTGCTTGTTCTGTCTTTTCTTTAATCTCTATCATAATCTCATACACACATAAGTACAAACAGTGCTCTGTATTGAGATTTAAATTCTTTTCTATTTTCTTTTACCTTCCTACATGTCCCATGAGGCTCTGACCCTCCTCTTGTATGTTTCTGCCCACAGCTTACTCATAAATATTCAAAGCCCTTTCCCATCATTGTTGGCATTTTTTTACTCATACAAGCATTCCTGAACGATATTTTTCACTTCAAAGATCTTCTCTGTCCTTCATATGCCTTGTCTCTTCCATTGGTGCTCATATTCACACATTGCTACTCTCTTTCCTTACCAATCTCTTTCTTTACCTCTGTGATCTCTTTCTCTCTTCCTCAAACACCCTTAAGAAATATTCAGGTGCCTTCGTTGTCCACCATTCTATTTATATTTATACCATTGCTTTTCTTCTTTCCTCTTCAAATGTATACAGTGTAAAGGAAGGAGGTAGCTGTATTTATGGCCCTGTGCTTTTCATAATAAATAGCCACAGCAGTCCTGGCAGGGCAGACAAATGAAATTCCAGTTACAGTAACTTATTTATTTCCATTTCCGTTTCGATTTCTGGGTATTACACTGATGGCAGACTCTACAAAATAGACCAGGAAAAATAGAGCTAATGCTCACTAAGGGCACAAACAAGAAGGAGGTCCCTTTGGAAAAGAAAAAGGGACAGTATAAAATTAACGAGTTAATGTTTCTTTTATACCAGTTACAGCAATTAATTCACAGAGTAACAAAAGGGAAAAAATTACTGAATTACTTTTGCTAGAAGTAAAAAAGTTTACTGGATTTCATAATACAATCCACTGCCCTAAGAATAGACAAAGGTTAACTACAATGATCTTGCCTATCAAACCTACGTATGGAAGAGATTCCACACTTCCACTAGGTGTCTTGTTCCAAATGCTAAATTTGGAACATTATTTTTCCAGTATATATAAATATACATATTCCAATACATAAACCTTAAAGTTTTAGAAAGTTTTGTCTAATATTGAATCTGAACTTTATGAACAATTTAGATTATTCATTTTTTCCTTTTTTTTCCCAGAAAGAATAAAATATTTCTGTCCATTTCACAGCAACATCTACCATATAAAGAGACCATTTACCTTCTATCTTCTCAGACTAAATGGAATTCTTTCAACTTTTACACATACCTCTTACTTTATATTTTAATATTTTGTTATTTTCCTCTGGACTGTCCTCTGTTTGAAAGGTCCAAACATAGCTGGTTTTGTCAATCCCTAGCAGAAAAATAATTAGTCCTGTCAGACGTACTGCACACCTATTAATACACTCTACAAATGAGGTTGTCTTTTTTCTTTAACAGTAGAACGTTGCTGACTCATATTTACTTTATAGTCCATTACAGCCCCCAGATTCTTTTCTGAAGAGCTGTTGTTTTACTGGTATTCTTTTGATTTTACATTTGATTTTTCTTCCCAAATGTAATTTGCATTTGTCAATATTAAGTTTCTTCTGATGGTTCCAAGACATTTCTTTAATTTGTGCTTAATCATTAATTTCTTTAATTTGACTTCTGATACTGGTCACCAAAGTGCAAACAGGTCATTTTAGCTCACTGACAGCTCTATATTTCATAATTTCATAACTCACATCACTAACAATCTGAAGAACAGAAAACGCCTTTAGATCAAGCAATTAACATAAAAAAAAGTATATTACATAAGGAATTTTGCTTAAACACTGTTACTTTTGGTTAGACAGATCATGACTTCTTCAGATAACTAACTGCCTTATTCTTAAGATATCAAATGATGGAGAACGCAACACATTCCTACACCCTTTTACTAGGTGTTGTCAGAATTGCACACATCTAGTCTGCATGTCTTTTAATTCCGGCCATTGACGTCAACTATCAGAGTAAGGAAATTTCATCTGTCAGGTATGCCTCTTTCCTTCCAGGTTTTGCCATATCATGATTAAGCATCTTTGCATCATTTTTGATAACCGAACAAGTAAAAAAAATAAAACAAGTTTTTTAAAATGCCTTTTTTTTTTTTTAATCCGCAGGCTTGGGGTTGGTTTGGTTTTTTTTCATTTTTCCCCCCTTTTTTCCCCCAAAATACATTACTGCAGTATCTTGTTCCACTGATTTTATGGATCATCTCACCTTCCTTTCACTGGATGACATATCAAGGGGCTGCATAAAATGGCCTATTCACCATAAGAGCACCGCAAGAGTAGTTTATCTGCCGTAACCACAAGGCATTTTGAACGTGACAACATCCAGCCTGAAGTTTGTCTGTGCTATAGTATTTCACACGTTGTTTTCCCTCACGTGTGTGAGCACATATTTGGACGCGCTACCCAGATTTCCAGCCAGCCCACGGAGCGGTGTGGGCAGCGCGGCACTCCGGGGCACACGCACCGCGCGGCCGCGCCCGCACCCGGTGGGAACCGCGGGCGGCTCGGGGCGTTCGCTTCGCCCGGGCACCTCTCCGTGAGGAGGGCTGGGAGGCTCCCACACTTTGTGCGGCTGCCGGGGACGTGCCTGTGGGGAAAGGCTGCGCGGTGCTCCCGGGGGCCGCTCTCCCGCAGCCGCTCCCCACAGGAACCACGCCGGCGCCCGACCACGCGGCGAGCTGCGGCGGCTCGGCGGGGCCGCCTGGCGGGGCCGTCGCCTTTGAGCCGCCCACGGGGCGGGGCCCTGTAGGTTTCGGCTGAACATTCTGGAGTGGAGGGGAGCGGCGGGGGCGAGGAGAGGCAGGGCAGGGAGCAGAGCGGAGCGAGCCGAGTGGCGGCGAGCCGAGCCGAAACCGAGCCGAGCCGAGCCAGGCCGGGCCGGGCCGGGCCGGGCCAGGCCGGCCTTCCCCGGGAGGAGGCGGAGGCTGAGGGGGAGGAGGCAGGAGAGAAGGAGGAGAAGAAGTAGGAGGAGGAGGCGGAGGCGGGAGCGAAGGGAGGACAGGGGGAGGTGGTTGCTGCTGCTGGGCAGAGAGGAGTCGTGCAGGAGCTGCGGCTGCACTCGGACGCCACATTCCCTCCTTACGGGGCTGGCGGTGAGGATGAGCGAGAGCTGACCCTGCCGCCGCCGCCTGTGCTGTGAAGTGTCTGCTCCTCCTCCTCCTCCCCGGCTGTGGGTGAACCTGCGCTACGGGCTCTTCACCGAAACGGGGGGGGAGGTTGGTTTGTTTGTGTATTTAAGGCAAAGAGAGAAAAAGAGAGAGATTTTCCACCCGCTGAAGCACAGTCCACTATGATCGTACTCGCATCCAGCATTGGAAGCCGGTTGGATTTCGTGTCTCAGTCCAGGGTGTTTTTCTTGCAAACCTTCATTTGGATTTTATGTGCTACAGTGTGCAAAGCGGAGCAATATTTCAATGTGGAGGTAAGATCAGCCGGATGCGTGAGCGAGTGTGTATGCTTTCCCTTCTCCCTTTCCTCTCTTCTCTTTTTTTATATCCCTTAAATAAAAGGAAATCAAATAGCCAGCCAGCCAGCCATGTCTTCCATCAGCCAGGGCATACGTCTGTGTAGGCTTTCCTTCCAGCAGCCGGTAGCTAGCTCCCCTCCCCGAGTTCCCCCGCCTGATGGATGCATTTCAGCCGGAGATCCCGTTATCCCGGCAGCGCGATGCCGGGCGCTGGAGCACAGCCCGTGCCTCCCGCTGACCTCGCCCACGGGGGACGGGAAACCCTCACCCGGGCATGGAGGAAACCTGAGGCGCAGTATGTGCACGCAGCTCAGGGAAAGCTCTGTGAATGTCTTGGACTTAAGGTACCGCTCTATTTCTGAGTTTCCCTAGCCTTTTTTTTTCCCCCCAAAGAAGAATGAATGAAAGAGAATTACAGGAACAGGAGGAAGGAAACTTGAGATTTTTGGCACGTTTCTTTGTGGTAGAGTATTTGAAAAAACAAGATCTTTTTCCCATTTAAACGTAACAAAAAGAGTTGCTACTAGAAATAGTGAAACAAATGGCATAAAGGTGCAACTACAGCAGAGAAGTTAGAAGGTGTGGAGGACAAGGAAACAGTATTTTTCGAAGTGAAAATAAAGATTAAAATGTGGGGATACCTGGATGGGGCAAACCCTAAGAGTTTACAGTGACAATTCAGTGAACATCCATTTCCAGTCATCTTTGTCTATGCTCTCAGTCTTCCTGCTGGGATTTTTTACATAATGCTTTCTATTAACTAATATTCCTTTACTGACATTTATCATCTTTGCATATATTTTTTCTCTGTCCTGTCACTCTGTTTGTTCTGCTGTGAGCCCTTATTCTATTTCAGTGTGATATGTTTATTTCTTTCTTCTTTTCCCTGTCTATCCAACTTCTTAATTTTTCTTGTTATGTCTCTGCAATTGTTATGTGCTCTTTCAACTTCTAGTAAATAATTCTGGCTTTCTGTTAAAATGTTGTGTTCCTTCACTTTCTTCTGTCCTGCCACCCCACTCAAAACTTTCTGTTGCACTCCGACACCAGCCTTTTTTGTGTCTAGTTTCTTTCGTCTTCTGGGTTCCCATAATTCTTTCTTTCAGAGAAATGAAGTCTATGTCTCTTCCTCTGTCTCACACATATGCACACTTGCTTGTTTTATATGAGCTCTTGTTCTCACTCAGTGACACTCATTCTTGCTCCTGTTTCTGGCAAGATTGCTCATGCAGATGCTCCTCCATTCCTAGACTGTCTCCCTTTTTGTCTAATATTCTTAACTGTACATCTTTTCCTTCTGCCTCATGCAAGATCACCTCAAATTTATGAAAAAGTCACTTTTTCTTTCTCTATGTCTGCTTTCATCCTAGTCTTTCATTGTCTACAGCCAGTTTCCTTTGCCTCATGCAGTTGTCTCAGCTTAACACTCATCCACAGCTTCTCTCTTTGACTTCCATATCTCCAGAAAATAGTCTTTTTGCTCCATCACTGAGATCTCTCCTGATTATAAATCTGAGTCTTTTTTACTCTGTCATCTGCACTCTAGTCACTTGTTTGTTCCTTATCACAGAAATGCATCTCTGCTTCTGTTTGATTGTAAGCTTTCTAGGGCAGGACTCACATCTTCTCACATGTTTATGTGGTGTGTACCATGCTCAAGTCTGGAGTAGAATTGTGATCTTTTTGCTATATAAATATTAAACCCACAAATTTCAGAGCACACACTGGAGTTTTATCTTTCTTTTGCTCATGTCCTCAGCTGCCTTCTTTACTGACAAGCAGGGGAAGGCAGTGTAGAACAGAGGAAGTTGCTCTCTGTATCCTCTCCAGGCTTCACAGGCTGGCCCCCTGCGGAGTATAGGGATGAAATTCCAGCGACAGAACTTTCTCCTCCCACAGCAGTCTGCTTTGCTGGCATCTGGCTCTGCTGGAGAGACGGGCGGCAGATGGAGCTAGTGTGGGAGGAGAAAAAGGTTGGTTTAGTCAAGTGGAATATGAACAGGAGGCCAGCTCCAGTCAGGAGGAGATTTTATGAGGAAAGAAGGGAAACACTTTCATTTTTGCCTCCTCTTCTATATGGAGAACAGCACATTTTGAGGGCAAAGGCAATATCAGGAGCAAGAAACACTGTTGGATGTAATGAAGTAGGACGTATGTGTGATGAGGGTGCATATTTCTCCTTTTTGAAATATGCCATCTCCTGTTCTTCTTCTTAGCCCTTCTGAGACAGACTGTGTTGTCACGTGCCAACACTTTCAATCTCTTCATATTTAAATCTTTGAGCCACACATTACTGGGAGCCAGAAGAGTGTTCCACGGAATTACTCTAGTATTTGAGAGTTGTCCTAATATGGGGCTTCTACCTAGGCCACTCCTTTTGACCACCATCAGTGACATGGTCCTGGGCTAAATGAACCTGAAATTTGTCCCAGAACAGCCATTGCCATGTTCACATTGTTTGGATAGTGCTGAAAATTCAATTTTCTTTGTTGCTGGGAATAGCAAAGGCTAAAAGCATGGGAAATTTGAGGCAAAGCACTTGGCAACAGCAAGTATGTATTATGCTGTTCAATTCTGTGTGTCAGCACAAGTACGTAAAGCAGTTGTACTTCATAGTAAAGTGTGAAAATATAACAAAGATTCTCATGACAATAAGTATGCAAAGCAGGCTTCAGAAAAGAAGTGGAGTACATGTAGTTGAATGAAGTGTCACTGAAAAAAATGCTTAGAATGGCTGTAAAGCAGGGTTTTTTTCATTCTTTCTTGTCTTTAAATAAAGTACAGATAATACCTGTTGAACGTTTTAAAATGTGAGATCAATTATTTCCTCTTGCTGTTCTGCTTTGTTTAATCCACATTCCTGACTGATAAACAAAATCTCTGTAGTCAAGTTGAATTTTTTGGTTTATTTGTTTCAGTGCTGTTAGACAGACAATTCTCAGGAGATACTACTGTAGCTCAGAGATATTAAATAATAATGTTACCTTTCAAAAGTAAAACACAAAGCTAAAGTTTACAAGCTTGCGTGTACGTTGTTGTTCCTTGTAATTTGGTTGTCCCTTTGTAAAGTTTCTTTTAGGTGAACAACTGTATAGATGAATTCTTCAAGCTTCCAATGACAACTGAGTTGTCAATCCTGAAATGTATTTGTGTGTGTGGTATTTCGTGTAATAGACATAGCTGAGCAGGATTCAGATCATAGAGTACGGGACACAGGAGGGGCAAACTTGCACTTCGTATCAGTGAGAGCTTTGTGGTAAAGCTGCATGAGATATGACTGTAACTGATAGGTTAAGAAATCATGAGGTTTAGGAAGATTTTATCACTAGTTTTCAAAGTTCATCGATTACCAGTGGCATTTCTGTGAGACTTTGCTTCTGACATGTGAGAAAAACTAGGAACTACACTGTTAGCTTCCTCTTCTCAGTGTTCTTCTCAGTCCAAAACAATAACTTCCTCGAGTAAGTGTATCACTGGAAAACTATGTCATCAATATAGAGTTTTTCTGCTACTTTCAACTGTTTCTGTACAATAGCAAGGCAAGATGTCTATCAGTGAGATAGTGAATGGAATAACAGTTATTAAAAGACCATTTTAAATGTACAACTGAATCAAACACATAGAAGATAATTTATTACTTAAAACTGATAGAGCAACCAACTATCTTCTTCTCCCTACTGGGCTCCTCACTATAGTAATAGTATTTTGTGTTGCTCAAAGATAACTCCTTTGCATGTTACGGGGAGTGTCTGTAGATGGTCCTTCTCAAGTGTCATCCATCTAGTATATGTATGTGTATATGTATATATATATATATATAACTGTTTCAGCTGGTATTCTATAAATTTCTCTTCTAATTTCATTCTATATACCTCAATAATAAGTATGTGTATATTTAATTAACCATTAAATATTCAATACAGAAAAATGAAAACCAATGTCACTGTTTTGTAAGGGAAAAATGGTTATTGAAACAAGAATACCTTGGTTAGAAGACAGGATCAGCATGAATCTAGAATGCAACTAATCTCTGGAACCTAGTACTGCTTACTCTTACACAGCTGAGTATCTGCCTAAACCCTGTCGAGAAAAGAAGTGTTTTTAGAATTGTATCCTAGTTTCATTGACTGAGTCTGTGATGTGGGAAACATTAGAGAGAAAGCATGCTTCATCATCACTCTCCTCAGGCTGGCAGTTATGCTCTGTTTTCCTCCTTCTAATGCTAAATGTGTAGACTTGAATCCCTAGGGAAGATCTTTAAATGATACTTACTTTAGTGTAAGCAACTGTTTAAAACAATAGTCATCTCCCATTTTCAGAAGTGGTATAGTTAAATTGCATATTGTGGAACAAAATACAGTGGAATCCAAACTTCAGAAAAATATTGTCAGTTTCCTCCATGGTAATAAGTGGCTGAGAACCCCATTGTTTTCACTGTTAATAAATTTTACAATTAGCCTCCAACTCTTGCTGAATAGTAATGCATGACCTTTTATTCCATAAGCTTTTAGTCTTTTAAACATAAAAGCAGACTGGTTTCATTCTCCAGCTGGCAATTTAAGAGGAATAAACATTTGAGAGGGGAAAAAATCCTCCAATATCACCTTTACATACTTTTCAAATAATGGGCTTCGTTGTGAAGTTTGTAAGCACAACACAGGTTTTTTTAGAATTTGTTAAAATGCAAGCTGAAAACTATGGAGAAGCAATTAAGGTGGTTTTGATATCAGTAGTGCCATATGTCCCAAAAAGAATTTACAGGATCTTCTGCTTTATTTTTAGTTGCAGTCAGTATGCATAATTCTTAATTATTTAAATTCTGAATCTCACTCTTGCATGTTATCAACTAAATGAACTGGACTTTTGTTAGAACAAGAAGTTCAAACTGAAATTATTAGAAGGATGGAAAGGAGTTACTGGATCAGGTGGTGAAGGTGCTTAATGAGTGAACTATT